TTCTAAATATAATTATGAATATTGTTTAGCTGCAAAGAATAGTTTCAATACATGCTTCAACGTGATGATACTCATCTGTTGATGAAAGATAATCATTTAAATGTTTTAACATAACTTCGACAAACTTTGATTGCCGAAGTTTATCTTCGACAAAATTTTCTTGCCGAAGTTCAACTTCGGCACGACCCCACCATAAGGATACTGAATATTCTCCATCTCAACATTGCAAAAAAAATAATAAAACCTTAAAATAAATTTTTGAGATATATATTGGTTTGAATAGATGGAAGTATGTTCGATAATGAAATAATACCGAGTTCTAAAAGTAGAAACAGATATCACTGCTTCTTTAATTTGAACAAGATGAAAACTAGAACGTATCTGAATTAGAATGCTATGATAACAAGTTCTTCATTGCTATAGAATATATTGATGATTTATCGTCAGTACTAGAGCAAAAAATCAATGTAAAATCGTAACCTGTATACTATTCAATAAAGAATAAGCACTTTCTCCATTTCTATTTGTTATAAAGAATAGACAAGAGAAGTTGACAATTTTCTACTTGAAACTAAATATTGATCTTTAAAATCATCGAAAATTCGAATAAAAAATTCATACTTTACTCAACTAACAACTTCTTACGTTAGCAGCATGATCTTAACATCAAGATATGTATATCAATAGACGATATATGTCTACAATAGATGAAATCCCATTGACAATAGTCACTTTGACACAGACACAAAAATAATCTCTCTTACATCTCTTAAGTTCAACTTTGATCGATACAGATCGATAAATTGAATCATTTTGATATCACGATAGAAAACATTTTCATCCATTTTTCAATCATTTTCAAAATGAAAAAAGATGAAATGCAGATTTCGACACTTAGTCCACCGGATAGATTCTCCGCATAATTCAAAAACAAAAAATTTACAACAAAAATCTCTGAATTAATTCAAATTTCAATGATTTCAGTCATTCCGCTCCGAGCACCTACTATCGATATTCATCCAAATGCTCGATGGGAACAGAATGGTATCACTGTAGCTGGAGGAAATGGACAAGGCAATGGAATCAATCAACTCTCAAACCCATGGAGTTTGTATGTTGATGATGATGATCAAACAATCTATGTTGCTGATCAAAACAATGACCGTATTGTGGAATGGAAATTGGGTGCAACGAGTGGACAAGTGGTTGCAGGTGGAAATGGAAAAGGAAATGGAGATCATCAATTGCGTTACCCAGTAGAGGTGATTGTCGACAAAGAGAGAGATAGTCTCATCATCTCCGATATTTCGAATAGAAGAGTGGTTCGATGGCCTCGTCGAAATGGAACAAGTGGAGAAACAATCATCTCTGACATCGGTTGTGTGGGTTTGACAATGGATGAGAATGGATTTCTCTATGTCGTTGACAATGGAAAACATGAAGTGAGACGATATCGAAGAGGAGAATCTCAAGGAATAGTGGTTGCAGGGGGCAATGGAAATGGAAATGGTCTCAATCAACTCCCTTTCCCAACATACGTATTCGTCAATCGAGATCATTCAGTATATGTGTCTGATGGAGGAGAACGTGTGATGAAATGGATGGAAGGTGCAAAACAAGGCATTGTCGTGGCTGGTGGTCAAGGAAAAGGAAATGGTCTTACACAATTCTCATATCCTAAAGGAGTCGTTGTCGATCAATTGGGCACTGTCTATGTGACTGATCAAGGGAATGATCGAATCATGCGTTGGCCCAAAGGAGCCACACAAGGAAGTGTCATTGTTGGTGGAAACGGTAAAGGAAAGCAATCAAACCAACTCGAACGGCCCTCCGGTTTGTCATTCGATCGACATGGCAATCTCTATGTCGTCGATCAGGCAAATAATCGAGTACAAAAATTCAATATCGAATCAAATAGATAAATAAGGTCCATCATACAGTTCATAAAGACTACTTAATTAAAGACTTTCAAATAACTAATTAATTAGGGTGTGGGTGTGGGTGTGGG